AAAACTCTTGGTGGGCTTTTGTTACATCCCAGCCTTTGTATAAGGGCACTGGCTTTTAACATTTACCTTAACCACTCAGTCAGTACTGAAACAGTTGTGATGGAGGCCTACGTTAGTGAGACCTGGCCTGCCACAGTTTTACAAAATAGTGTGGCTGTCTACCCATTTTATCATACCACTCTGTATAAGTAGATTAGTCATAACTAAAGAGAAAGGAGTGATTCCCCTCAAGCTCAGCATTTGTTCTGTCACTCCCCATTCATCTGTTCAACAAGTACATACTGGTCATCCACTGGGGATAGAGTGGTGAATCAGACAGCCCGGGTCCCTGCCCTCATGAGGCTAAGCATGAGCTTTCAGTTTCAGTCTGGCTGAGAAGACATTCACCAAGTAATTGGTAGAGTGTTTTGAAGATTGTTGATCAGGCAGCAGTCTTCAAAGCACAGGATATACGGAGGAAACACATCTCAGGACATCCATCCTAGTCAAGGGAATATTTCCTAAGGAGAAGTGGTATTTAAGTAGAGACCTACAGCATGTGGTGAGTTAGCCAGATAGAGGGCAGCCAAAAATATTTCAAACCAAGGAGGCCTCCTTGAAGGTACTAAAGAATTTCCATGTGATCATGTGAATATAGACTAGGAGGAAGGAGAATGATGAGATAAGTACCAAATAGCTTCCTGTGGTATGTCCTAGGGGTATTTTGATGGGATTGACAGATAAACACTACCAGAAGTAATGGGAGGAAGTAAACTGTTAAAGGGAAGGTGGTGAAAGGGTCATTCAGATGGAGAGATAATATTACTGGCTTCCAGACACCTATACAGCCTGCTGGTTTCCTGGAAGTAATACCACACACATAGTGAGGATGGAATCTGGTGTGCAGACCTCCCTTTGCCATTCTTATGGGACCTTCTCTACCTGCCTGCCCCTTCAACAGGTGTAAGTAAGAGAGGCAAGATTGCCCTAATGTGCCAGAGATTTCTTATGAGAAGAGGATGTCAGTTGCGTGGAAGCATCCCCCAGCAGGTCCAGCTTCAAGACCTGCCTCAAGTCTCTTTCAGCAGCCTGGATTCTGTAGGATGTGGATTTTGAAATGATATAGCCCTTATAGTGCAATAGAACCTTGACACATACCTTTTTTCAGGTCTTCTAGAAAGCTAATTTTGTGGCTTTGTTTTATAAAAAATGGAAGTTTTGCGGGTTCCACTTTTAATCTTGTTCTACGTATTTGCTCATTATTATTAAGAATGATTTCTAGGCCAGGCTTGGTGGCTCATGCCTGTAATCCCAGCACTTTGGGAGGCTGCAACGAGCGGATCACTTGAGGTCAGGAGTTCAAGACCAGCCTGGCCAACATGGCAAAACCCTATCTGTACTAAAAATACAAAAATTAGCCAGATATGGTGGCAGGCGCCTGTAATCCCAGCTACTCAGGAGGCTAAGGCACAAGAATCACTTGAATCTAGGAGGCAGAGGTTGCAGTGAACTGAGATCTATGACCGTGCCACTACATTCCAGCCCAGGTGACAGAGCGAGACTTCATGTCAAAAAAAAGAAAGAAAGAAAGATTTCTGTTTCTATTAGGGCTTGCCAAGATTTCTATTTATTTTTTAAAATTCCTCCAGATTTATCATGGGACATATTAATCTGGGAAAGGAGGGGCATTTTTTCTTTGAACAGGAGGGGAAGAGGAGAAAATAAAGATGGCGCACGTGAGATCTAGAAAGGAAGGAACATGTAAAGAAAGGAACCTTGTTCTTGTTGGCAAAATAGTTGGGCAGATTATTTACTGAGATAAATTAGAACCAGAGACTTGAGAAGAACAAGAAAAGTTTAAAGCAGCTACTGGGAGGAGTATGCTAAGGGTATTTGAAAGACATGAGTGAGGCCAGGCATGGTTGCTCATGCGTGTAATCCCAACACTTTGGGAGGCCAAGGCGGGCAGATCCCCTGAGGTCAGGAGTTCGAGACCCGCCTGGCCAACATGGTGAAAACCTGTCTGTACTAAAAATACAAAAATTGGCCGGGCGCAGTGGCTCACGCCTGTAATCCCAGCACTTTGGGAGGCCGAGGCGGGTGGATCACGAGGTCAAAAGATCGAGACCATCCTGGTCAACATGGTGAAACCCCGTCTCTACTAAAAATACAAAAATTAGCTGGGCATGGTGGCGCGTGCCTGTAATCCCAGCTACTCAGGAGG